CTGGTTTTCGTGCGGTAGGGTTCTTAGCATCGACCGGTAGTCAGCCCTAAACCCTAAACAAGAAACAGATTCAGCGGCTTGAACAGCCAAGCCCCTGAAGCCTACCGGGTAGTTCTCTAAATTAGGGTCNNAGGGTCCCTTTTAGGGGTCCTTTTATAAGGGTGCCGTACTTTTTGGGGACCTAAAACGGGACCCCAGTTTAGCGAACTACCCTACTGTTGAAACGAGCGCCGAAACCCTGATTGCGAACATGAACCACTTCTGTACTGTGCACAGCTTCTCTGCCAGAGCTTAGGGTGCAGTTCTGGTCATGTGATGCCCGTGTTCCATGGCACCTTGCTGATGTAACCCCAGTTAGAGTACATTGTACATCTACTAGCCGGGCCTGCAGCATCTTGAAGCTTCAGGTAGCCTCAAACCGGGTTGGGATGTGTTTAAGGTTAAATTTAAGGTTTCGGCTTTGAACAGGTTCAAAGAAGATTGTAGGACCTGCAACATGTTCTCCGATGCGGTGTGGTGTGCAGACATGAACTCCATAGCCTGAGCCCTCATGTGGCTGCTCCTGTGGCTGTTATGCAGCACAGGCTTTGCCGGGTGTGCAGGGAAGAGGCTGCAGGCAAGACTTCTCGGTTCAGGGGTTCGTGCCCTTTAGTGTAGAGGTTTCGAAAGTTATCAGTGGCAGGCGGGGCTCTTTTGCTGTCGCTGCTGGCGGTGTTGTTGTACGTGACATTCTTCCCAAAGCGTGTGCACGAGCTGAAGGGGCTGTGCTGCGCAGTCACGGGCGCATCTGATGGCCTGGGAGTGTTCATCGCCCATGCGCTGGCGGCCGAGGGCGTGGAGAAGCTGGTCTTGGGTGCCCGGCACGTGGAGAGGCTGGAAGAGGTGAAAGCCGACCTTGTGAAACGCTTCCCGAAGGCAAGCGGCGGGCAGCGTAGGGGGGAGGGATTGTTTGCAGGGCCAGGGCCTGTGAAGCCGCCAGGTGAAGGTCCTGACGCTGAGGTTGGACGTGACGGACGGTGAGAGCCGAAACGATTTCCTACGCCAGGCCACCACCTTCGGCCCGTGCCAAGTCCTCATCAACAATGCGGGGGTCCTTACGCGTTTCGGCGCCCGAGTACTTAAATTCCATTTCTTTCATGCCTCGCCTTCCCTTGTTCCTAACCTCCCTGAACTCCTAACCCTAAACCCTAAGCCTGGAGACCCTTGGTTAGTGGAGCCAGAGGCAGTTCTGTGGAAGCTGAGGTACGCTTTCTTCGAGTCCATGGACAACCAGGCCATGGATGCCATGCTCCAGACCAACCTTTCAGGCCCGTTTAGGATGTAGGGTTTAGGGGTTAGGAATATTTATACTTTATACTATACTAATACCATAAGACATAAGAATACCATATAATATATGAATACCTATAGTGTATACCTGAGACCAGCCTTTCAGGCACTCTCCATCTCACGAAGAGCTTCTTGCCAGAGTTGCTGAAAGAGAAGAGAGCCCACGTGGTCAACATCTCTTCAACGGCCGGGGGCTGCAGCGTTCCTTATGGGGGCATCTATGCCGCCACAAAGGCCGCCCTGACCAGCTTTACATTATCTCTCCGTCTGGAGATGCGCTTGGAGAAGAAGCCCGTGACGTTTCACTGCGTTAGCCCCGGTTTGGTGGAGGACGTCGGAATGGCCGCTTCTGCCTCCGGTCGGATCGGCGCCACCGTGTCTGAGACGGGCAGAAACATGGGATGGACGACGCCCACGAAGGTTGCTCAAGCCGTCGCGCGGGCGATCCAGTACGATGAGGCCTGGCTGTGAAACCTCAGAGCTCAACGCTCATGCACCCCTTGCATTCCCTGTGAGTAGTGTCAACCCTGAACTACACGATTTTGGCTTCTAGAGCCGGTAGACCCAGGCCCTACAGGCTTAAGGTTTGATCCTGCAAAGGACACCACTTGTTTCTTACACTTCAAGCAGTGGCCCCAAAGAAGCCCTACATTGGTTCAGGTTTGGAACAAGTTGATTCCGAAATAGCGGGAACCTCAAACCCCAAAAGCCCTCAAGTGCCTAGGCCTAGACTCCCCTGCCGCAGGCACAGATTCTTGTGAACTCGATTCCTCTGCAGCCCCTCTTCGCTATTGCTGCCCTGCTTCCTGAGATCTGGGAGCTGACGCCGCCCCGGTCGGTTTAGTAGGGTTTAGGGTTTGTTTGGGTTTGATTTGGGTTTTAGGGTGGTTTAGGTCCGGGACTAAGGGGTTTAAGGGTGGTTCAGGCGTGTATACACGGCAAAGGAATCAAGAGTTGAGGCAACTTCGAAGCCCCAAGACACGGTTTAGCGTTAGGCTTCTCCAGTCTTTAGGGTTTAGGCTTTCGGGTATAGTGTTTAGGGTTTAGAGTTTAGTTAGCCCCTAAACCCTAAATCCTAAACCGAGATCCCCTCTCATGGCAGCTCTTGGCTTCCAACTCTACCGGCACCTGCGCCGGAATGCCGAGCTCGGGGCCAAGTGAGGCCACAAGTTGTGAGTTTGGTGTTGTGGGCTAATGGCTTGAGGGTTTAGGGCACATTTGGGCTTGTGGGTTTGGGGCTGGGGTATAAGTCTGCGGTTTAGGGTCTATGGTTGCGGTTTGAAGGGAAGCTAAAGCCTTCAACAGCTCGAGTTTATGGTTCGGTTCCACCTGCAGCATGTCGAACCTAGAAGATCAACCCCTAAACCCTAAGACCCCTAAAGCTCTAAACCCCGAAAGCCCTATAAAACCTGAACCCCTTCGCCCCAGCCCAACAAGTGCACCTGAAACCTATGAGCCCACAGGCATATCATCTCGATGGTTTGGCGGGCGCTCGCTGGAAAAAATGGACCCCTACACACCAAAGCCTCAAACCCAAAGCCATAGACTAGAATAGGTTTAGGGTTTACGGCTTCTAGGGTTTATAGTCTATAGGGTTTGCAGGGTTAAGGGGTTAGGAGTTGTGTTTGTAACACTCGTGGAATGTACCCTGGAGGCACTAGAGAAAGACTTGAGGGACGGGGTGTCGGGTTCAGGGAGTCGTTTGGTGTAGGGCCTTCAGTGCAGGGCATTTAGGCGGTTCGAGTTTGGGACTGTTGAGACTTTACTGTAAACCCTAAACACTAACTTTCCCCCCCTCCGGCAAAATAAATTTTCCCTCCCACACACCAATCTCGCTTGCAGAGGAGCTGCAGCTCTACGAAACCATCGACTGTCAACAGGAGGTGGGCTTCTTCGAAGGGTTTTGTATCCACCTTAAAGCTCCTTTCGTCCGATTTGCCGTTCTCTGCAACTTTATCCAGACCCACACAGATTTAAAGATAAGGTGCCGTGAACCCAAAGTTCGACCCTAAAAAAAGACTTCTAAATAAGGTACTCTAAAACCTTCATGCAGGCCCGGATATGAACGTTCAAACATGAGCCCTGAACTTTACACCTCAATAACAACCCTTTCATCGACTTTTAATTAAAGTGCCCCAAACCTTGATTTGGATATTAACATAGACCTCTCAATACCTCTAAGTAGGCACAACTAAGCAACCCTAATATTGAAGGAACCCACCAAACCTTAATATAGACAGTTATATAGGCTTCTAAATAAGGTACTCCAAACCCCACTATAGACCCTAGCATGGACCTCCAAATGAGGTATCCTTAGCATAGACCCCAACAGAGGCTTCTGAACAAGGTGCCTCAAATACCAAACTGTACCCCAATATAGAACCCAAACCCTAAACCGTAAATTTCTCTAAACCCTAAACCTCAGATACTCTAAACTTTAACATCGACTCCCGCAGGTGGAGGGGCTGTACATTGCAGCAGGAGAGGATCCGATGCAGTGGGGGCACCCAGTTGAAAGTTCCGGGCTTTGGGGGTTTGGGGTTTAGGGCGTTAGGTGCCCAACTTGAGGTCTATATTCGGGTTTAGGGTTTAGGCTAGTCCGTTGTCATCCGCAGCTTTTCCTGTGCGCTCTTGCCTTAAGAGGGCGTGAGAGCTGGCCGGCTCCATTGTCAGTGCCGGAAGAAGGCTCTCGAGGTTTCGAGGGGCCCGTAAGGTTTCCGTGTGTGCTACGAGCCTGGTCTGTTGCGTTAGGCGAGTCAGCCTCTTGATATTAAGGCCATTTCTGCCATGCACCGATATCACAGGAAGGCTTAAATCTTCAAGTCCAGAGCTCCCTCCCTCCTGCTGTTCAAAGACAGCCTTGACGGTAATCTGTTTTGGGGGTGTATACATGATTGAGGTTTCTGGAGGAGAAGCAACGCCACCACTGCAACAAAGCCCGGAATTCACAATGAAGCCGCGGAGCCCACTCAGGCCTTCACGCAATGCTAGCCTGGCTTTTGACCACGACCAGCTCACCGATTGGTGGTCCGTGCTGGGCTTGGGGTGAGGCCAAATTAGGGTCCCTTTGAAGGTCCTTTGTATAAGGGTGCGTACTATATTGGGCCCCAATATCCGAAACCCCGAAAACCTTCAGTTTTTTGTCGGTGTAGGGTATTGTCCAGGTCATCGAATTTCTCCGGTGCAGTTGATGCCACGCGTGTGTTGATGCTACGCATGTGGCTTTCCTCAGAATAGCCCCAGCCACGAAGCCAAAAAGTCTGGCGCTGAAGCCAGCCGTGAGTGCAACGTTCTATTTGCTTCATTAGCTGGTAACGCTGTCCAGGCAGCTTTGTTTACTGCCGTTTCTCCAAACCGCAACTCTCAGGAAGTTCAGACACGAATTCCCAGAGCAGCATAGAAAAACCCCAGACCCGAAGTCCGAAGCCCCAAAACTCAGGAGGAAATGGATTTCAGGGTAAGGATGAAAGCACCAACATAGGGTTTCGGGGCTTTGGACTTTAGGGTTCCGGGTGTTAGGGTTCAAGCGTTTACGGCGTCTATGTTGACTATGCCCGAGCCATTTGCCGCTGAGGGGCAACTGCTGGTAATCTGCAAAAGCCCTACACCCCAAACCCTAAACCCTCCACCCTAAACCCAAAGTTGCGGTTGCAGTTTGTATCTCTGGCGAAGTGGAACACACCCCAGGTGTGCACTCGATGCTTGAAGGGAGCTGCGTGGATTGGCAAGGCCTCGGTTGGGGTTTAGGGTTTACAGGCTAGGTCGGCCGGTACTTGTTGTGATGGTCCGTTTGGGTTTGGTTTGTTCTTGCAGTAAAGTGTTCTTGACCACATTTATAGAAGAACTCTCTGACTCAAGGCGGATATTTTGGCGCGAGGTTTGGGTTCCAAGGATATGCGCTCATCGGGTTCCATCTCGGGTTCTTGATTGTTTGGCTTCGGATTGTAGTCGCTAGGAGGGCTTCAGCGCAAAGTAGGTGGTGGGGCCTGGACAAGCTGAGCATTATACTCGTCGGTGCTCTACAGGCCTGTAGCTTCAGCATCGGCTGCGCAGAGTGGCTTTGTCACCAACCGCAGGCATCCCGTAGCATCGCCGCGTTGGGCCGTCACCAACATGAAATCCCGCCGAAACAAGCAAACAGAGGTGCGCAGGCACGCGCTCGTCATGGCATCGGCAACATGGTGTGCTTTTGACGAGCAGCAGTCGAGCGTCATCAGCATCAGGTTGGGGCTTCGACGTGGAATGCCTGCCGAGAAAAGACTTGGCGGCTTACCAAGGCAACGAGGAGTGCGTATGATGCGGAGGAAAGCAGCTGAGCATCACCAGCATCAGCAGCTTCGGGTTTCATCAGCATGGCAACAAATCCAGCATTCATCTCCCAGACAACAACAGCCGAGCATCATCAGCATCAGCAGGTTGTGGCTTTCCGTTTTTCGATTGAAGCCTCAACCCCCTTTGATGCTGATGATGCCCGGCTGTCCTCTGGGCTGGTGAAGCCCCAACCCGCTAACGCCGATGATGCTCGGCTGTCTTCTGCGCTGGTGTAGGATCAACCCCGATGATGCTTGGCTGTCCTCTGGACTGGTGAAGCCCAAATCCCCTGATGCTGATGAGGCTAGGCTGTTCTCTAGTCAATTGATGATTCTGCAAAACAGTGAAGCTTGAACTGATGCCGGGCTGTCCTCTGCGTGGGTCAAGGTCCAACCCCGATGATGCATGGCCTGGTGAAGCCGCAACCCCGTGATGCTGATGATGCTCGGTGGTTTTCGAGAAGTTGAGAGTTCTGCAAGACAATGACGCCCCAACCCACTGACGCTGATGATGCTCGGGCCTCCTTGGCGCTATGCCCGGCTGTCCTCTGGGCTGGTGGCGCCCCGCCCCATTCCCCAACCTCCTGATGCTCATGATGCTGCACTGATGCTGATGAGTTTCGGATTTTCTAGTCAATTCAAAATTCTGCCACATAGCGAAGCCTCAACCCACTGATGCTGATGATGTTCGGCTGTCCTCTCCAGTGGTGAAGCCCCAATCCCCGCTGATGCTGATGATGCTCGGCTGTCCCCTGGGCTGGTAAAGGCCGGCCCCGCTGATGCTGATGATGCTCGGCTGTCCGCTTGGCTTGTGAAGCCGCATGCCGATGATGTTCGGTTCTTTTCCGGTGAAATGAAGATTCTGTAATGAAGCTCCAACCCACTGACGCTGACGATGCTGGGCTGTCCTCTACGCTGGTGAAGCGCCACTGGCTGATGCTGATGGTACTCGGCTGTCCTGTGTGCTGGTGGAGCAACCCGCTGATGTTCAGGATGTTTTTCTGGTTACTGAAGCCCAAACCCGCTGATGTTGATGATGCTTGGCTGTCCTGGCTGTTCAGTATCAAAGAGTTGGCTTCACCAGCACAGAAGACAGCCGAGCATTATCAACATCAGTGCACCAGCCAAGAGCATTGCCAAACATCATCTGCAGAGTTGATGAATCTTAACGCAGAACTGGGCTTCCATGAAGAAGACCACAGCGCGGCATCGGCAGCTCAGACGTCCCCGGGAGGGGATACAGAAAGTAAGCTACAGCGGCAGCGTCGCTAGGAATCCCAGGTGTCAGGACCGAACCTTTTGGGAAGTTCAGCTCTGACAGAAGCGGCAAACACTAAGCGCTGCGCCGAGGCAGAAGCAGGTTCATGGGCCTGGGCCCAAGCCAAGCGGCACGACCAAGGGTCAGCAGGTCGCGGAGGTCGATGTTCCTTAAAGCCATCGCAGAACCACAATGCATGCTCCCATGACGGTACGCCTGGCGCTCCACATATGCCACAGCGATGCAGTGTGGAAGGGGCTCGACGGGGTCTTTGATCTCGCATCGCCGCGTAAGCGGCCTCGCTCAATGCACCACCCAGGAGGACGCCTCGCTGCTCCGCCGACGCGGTGATGTACAAGGTTTGGGTAGCCTTCACCTGGTTCGCGTTGTAGCCAGCGTTCATGGCCAGGAGCTCCTCGGAGTCACGGCGAGGCATGTGCAAGAAGCCGTCGACCAACTTCGTGCGCCACTCCTCACGGAGGAGATGTCCAGTCTTCGTGGTGTCCTCCTTCCGGGAGCCTTGATACCAGCGCACAGATCCATGAGCTGCGTGATGCCAGTGATGAGGTCGAACCTCACGAAATCCCCATGCGTTCATGATGGTCTGAACCGCGCGCTGCCAGGGTCCTGAAGGGAGCGTTGAGCGACGACTGAGCCAGTAGTGTGCAGCCCTCAGCCACACCATGACGCCTTCGTGCTGTGCCTGAAAGGAAAGATCATGCCAGTGACCTGCTAAAAGAAACCAAAGGGTCCTAGCGCCCATCTGTACCACGCCAGTGGCCCTCCGTACACGCGTCACAAACTTGTTAGTGCCAGCGAGGTCCCAATCAGCATACCATGTGCCCCACATCATCTTACAGACAACGCGGGTCCTATACAACAGCTCTCTTGCCGACGGTCTGATCGGAAGCTTCGCCAAGCGTTGAACGAGCCGAAGAGGCTCTCCATCGAAAAATTCAGTGCCCAACTTCTCCACACGGTTCTCCGATTGAAATTTGACACCCAAAACTTCGGCGCTCTCGCTCACCTTGAAGCCGGCTGTCTGTAGCTTCTGAGTCATCCGCCGTGCGACGACGCGAAATTTCTCCCAATTCTCCTGGAGGCCGAGGTACTTCGATAACTCAGACCACGTACGAGTCACTTTCTTCGCATCCTCCACCGTCGTGACCACTGCTGCCCGGTAGTCAACGAAGATGGACTGCTGAAGTGACCCAGCGGTGCAGCGCTGGCCTCGCTGTGCGGCGGTGATGAGCAGAGCTGTGAGCGCCATTGGTGCAGCCGGGCATCCCTGCGGAACACTTGTAGCGACGTGCGCAGGGGTCGGCAGCAATGAGCGACCAATCTGAAGCCATCGCACCTGAGCTGGCCACACCCAACGAAGCAGCGCCACGAAGGGTGCCGGGCATCCCATCTGGCGTAAGTTTTCAATCGCCATCTGCGGAAACACATGATCAAAACACTTTGCGTAGTCCATGGTAAGGAGTGCGGCCTCTTCCACATCGAAGGCAGCCTGTAAGGCCATCACAGCAGCTGGGGCTTCTCGCCCTGGGATGCCTCCAAACATATAGTCCGGGGCACTGTTCGCCAGCCAGTCTCGAGTCGACTTGCGTCTGGCCCAGCAGGAAGAAAGCACTCTGTAGAACACGGAGAAGATGCACAGGGGTCGCATCTTGTCAGCGGGAACGTGCGACACATCAGCTGACACCTCAGACTTAGGGATGCAAACCCTTCGAACATGGCGCCAGCTCTCCGGGAACTGATTGCTGCATTCCCAGCTCCTAAGCGCAATGACAAAGCACTGCCAGAAGGCCTCGGGGAGGTGCGACACCTCCTCAGCCGTCCAGTGGTCCGGTCCAGGCGACCCCGTCGCTTTGCGTCTGGCCTGGCGAAGAAGCTCTACAGCGGTGATGGGGCCTTCGTAGTCTTTCCATTGTGGCGGAGTTTCGTGAGCTCGGCGTTGCAGCTCCTCCATGAACGCAGCTTGTTCCCGGCGCTGCCAAATCTTGTCCCAAAACTCCTTAATCATCCCCAGGCTCTCACCCGTGTGGGACGCGACGACCAATCGAGCACCTCGGGTACAAGAGACAGCAGGAGGAAGTACCGAGTTGCGATCATGAAGCCAGCGAGTGCATTCTTTGCCACAAAGCTCCATACGTTTGCGCCAGCAGGTCAAGTTCTGGGTCCGCCTCTTTTGTCTTTCAGCGTGAATGCACTCTTGCACTCGGGCTGGTAGCACCTGGAGGTCTGTATCCGGCGGCACACATCCAGGCCATGTAGAATGGATCTTGTTCAGGAGGCGGACGTCGTGTCGGCCAGCAGCCACTCCGCGATTGTACTCCAAAGCTCGGCCCAGGAAGTTCTCAAGCTGGCGGACTTTGGACGTCGTTGCTCTTGGAGCATTTTGAGCACTGCCCAAAACAGCAACTGGTAAGCCACCGCGGACGCCTGCAACGCGACCAGGAGCACGGCCACGTTCGCCTG